TGACAATAAAAAAATGTGCTGATTTTCAACTTTAAACTTACATTCTATGCTCTTCAATTTAAGCATACACTTCAATGTTTATCACTGTGGGTGATTTTTACTTCATCAGTTGTTTTATGCCAATAATAAAATGAATTTTTCTTCTAATTATTTAACCTATTTTTGTTGTTATGTTTTGATAGCCTTTAAGCACAAGTAAAACAGGGAAACAAGATGAATAGCTCCCCAGTGCTTCTGAGACTGGACTGGGTGGAGCGGGAAGGAACTAGGGACAGCCTGGGGAGAGGATGGCCTTGCTCACCCAGCCACACACTCTTCCACCCGTCAATTCTGTACAAAGTTGAATTCTAGCTTTACATTTAACTTCATATTACTGCCTCCACATTTATCATCAGATGTAAGACTACCATATACATGTTAATGAGGGATATATAGTTTTGTGTCACTTTGGAGGTCAACGAATTCTAGTAACTTCACAGATAATGAGTGAGTTTATTTTTGGTAAGAAGGGAGATCAGTACAAATGCTAACACAAAGGCACAATGTGAAGAGAAATAAACAGGGGGACAGTGACCAGAGGGGAGAGGGGAGGGAATTTCAGGGGAAAAAGGGGAAGGGTTTACAGGAACTAGTATAAAGGACACGTGGACAACAACTAAGGGGGGTGGAAAGGGGAGGGGGCCCGGGGGGTGGCCTGGGATGGGAGTAAAAGACAGAATACTGTAGTTGAAAAATAATTAAATAAAAAATTTTTAAATTAAAAAAAAAGAAACAGTATTTTTTATATTCTAAGAAATATAGGAGATCAATGCTAAGCATGTATGATTTCTATTCAAATAATAGTTTATGTTGATAATTGTAGTTAAAATAATGTAAAATTAGTGTAGACACTAATTTATAGCTTCTGGTTGTTTTTACATCCACGAAAGCTGAAAGAGGATCTTAAATGAGTAAAAAAATTGTTACTTTTGTTCATTTATGATTGTAGTTTTGTGGACCTTAAAGGCCTCTTCTAGTCTTGGCCTCTGTGTGGTAAGATACCTCCTTATTCAAACAACACGTGTGCACACACTTACTGTTGGGGTGAGATCTGTCAGCCCTTCAGTCACCCTGGAAAGTAAATATTATGACAGAATATAAATCTCTCAAAGCATGTTTAAAATATGCTTCCATAACACTACTTTTCATGCCATTTGTATAGCACTCGTCACATTAAAGTATCATTATGTTTCAAATTAATCTACTCTTCTGTAAGACCTTAAGTTACGGGAGGATATCGGTGGCTATCCCTTACAAAATCTTTATCTTATACCTTAACTTGCTCAGGACCTGGTATACAGAAGACTCTAAAAAAATAAAACACACAACAGTGTAGTTGCTGTAGCATATTCCCAAATAAGCAGTTACACAAATTAGTAAGTCAAAGACACTTGAAAACTGGAAATGACCTTATGGATCACTGGCAAAAGCTCCTTATTTCACAGATGAGGAACCAGACCCTAAAAAACCTGACACTTGTCCAGGACCAGCACAGGGAAGGAGATTCAGTCTTACTTCTGGAACCTGAGTACCCCAGTCCATGGAGGATCAAATGATACCTCTGAGTCATTATTACAATGAGTATCTTACTTCTAATCTGCAAAAAGAAAAAATGTGGAATATTTCCAAATTAAATCAGGGCTGGCAGCCAAAAATCCAGTTTTTCAGAAGGCTGTGGGATGTGACAATTCTTCTTAAGGGCAAAATGCTTGCCTCTGCTATGTATTGACTATCAACCTGTAGTGCACAAAGTCATAAAACATTTAAAAAATGCTAGTGTGTGTGTGTTTGCATGGTTGCGAGAGAGAAATAGAATGAGCTTTGAATAAAAAAATTCCTACACAAACTATATTAACTATATAAAAATATAGAAATGTTTATATATAAATATTTACTTTAAAAAGTAAAAGAAAAACATTATTTTTACTAATTCCTGACTATTTTTTCTGACTACAATCTATTGCTATTCCAGCTATGATTGACATTTGTCACTGCCTTTGTAGGAGGCTTTTCTCTATCAATAAAGAGTAAAGGTCAGGCGTTTGACCTGTAATTCTAACTGAACCTATTGACTAACCTCTGTAAATCTCAGTTTTCTTATTTGCAAAATTAATGGAATAAAAGGACTCACCTCATAGGACTATTTCAGTGCTTATATAAACTGGTGTATATAAAATATCTTAGAGCAATATGTCATTCAAAGTGAATGCTTCATAAATGTTATTATTTCACTTCCTAAATATTGACTTATGAATTCCTCAATGTGGCTCCTAACCTGAAATTTGAAAGGAAATTCAGAGTTTGAAACAGCCTAAGTGCCCATGAGTAAATGAGTGGATCAAAAACTGTGGTACACTTACACAGTGGAATACTATGCAGCAGAAACAAAGAAGGAACTCCAACCTTTCATGACAGCATGGTTGGAACTGGAGAGTATTATACTAACTAAAATAAACCAAGAGGTGAAAGACAAATACCATATGATCTCACCTGTAACAGGAACCTAATGAACAAAACAAAAAAATGAGCAAAAAAATAACCAACAGCTTGGAAACAAGGAACAGACTGACAGTGACTAGAAGGTAGAAGGGAAGGGAAGAAGGGCACATGAAGGGGAAGAAAGTAGTTAAGGAACATGTATGAATGACTTATGGACATTGACCACAGGGTAGGGATTGACTGTGAGAGAGAAGGATGGGCAGGGCAGAGGAGAGCAATGGGAAAAATAGAGAAAACTGTAATGGAACAATGGTAAAAGAATAAAAAAATTTAAAAAGATCATCCAAATCACGTGCAAGTCAGTCCATTTCCTTTTCCAATTTGAATTCATTATTAAACAGAAAACTATGCTTAAACACTTTTTTTGCTTGACAAAACAACAAATTATAATGCAAAATGCTTATAACTATAGAACTATTTGCCCATGGTTCAGGTTAAATACTATTATTTAATATATAGAGGTAAAAGAGAAATGAATAAAATTTTAAAAAGGAATATTAATGCCCAGGACTTACATTTATGCCTACATCTATATACAGTTATTAAAATGAAAATATTATAACTTTTTGAGCAAATATGACATAATAAGAGAACTAATTCTAAAGCAGGTAGGATTGATGATAATATCACATATTATCTCTGTGTTTTATTCAACCAGTATATTGGTATAGTTGGATAACCAGATGTAAATTGACTATATGACAAAGGCTAGTATTATCAAATGAAAATTTATTTTGATGTGCTCAATATGTTTGGCAGTTACACTAGGTTATTTAATTTATATTTTAAAACTTTCCTATGTAACTTTGATTAATATATGGAATATTATCAAAATAAACCACTCTATTCAAATATAAGTGTACATCTACATTTCTTTTTTTGTTTGTTTGTTTTTTTATAGAATCACAAAGTTTAGAAAGACCTCACTAATCCCTAATCTGACCTCCCTCTCGATGTAACAACCCTTTCTCCAGCACCCCTGACAGATCCACTTTTGTGTAAGTACCTTTTGACCTGGGGACTAACTGTTCTTTGAAAAAAAGAATTCTTTTAACAAAATGTCCTTAATACAAAATGTTACTGATCAATTGTCTTTTGTTCCAATTGAATTTAAATACTCTTCCTGTATTTTATAATCCAAGATAATTATTAGGATTTTCAATAGATAATTTTTCCTTTGAATTAAACATGCCCATACCTCTAAATAACCCTTGATTTAATAGATTTCCAGACCTCACCTTACGCTGGGCCCCCATTTTGGGAGACTCCAGCATGTCTGTATCTCTCCTAAGATGTGACAAAACCTGACCAGCATAGAGTAGGCTTATTAGCTCCATCCTTTCCATATCTTGTCTGTGTTTAAATGTACTGTCAACATTTGTAGGCATCCATAGCACAGCTGATTTGCACCAGGTATGTTTACTGAAGGTGAAGCCTTATTTCACTAGATGCCTAAAGTATTTAATAGCCTTGTCAGTGGCATCTCCTAGTTGCCGGAGGGTTTGTAGTTTAGTTACAACAGCATATTTGTTTATTTTCATTTATTTTGTTAAGCCTGAAGATCCTTGGAAGTGTGAATTCATAGAGGTGAATTTAAGGGATGCATAATTCAGACACTACTTCTCCTTCATGATGGCAATTCATGGTTTGAACACCTGACAGAAGTATCAGGGACACTGGCGTTGTCAGGGTGACTTCTCAGTGTCATTGGCGTGGAACAGTGGAAAGCAGTGCTGAGGAAGGCTTGAACAAAAAGGTTTTGGATCGTTTTTTGTGCACACAGATCCTAGCTCTCATGTTTACACATGCATTCCAAACCTAGTTTCCCTGTGATTTAATTTCGAGTAAGACCTACCTTGTAGATGTTTGTAGGATTAGATGGAGAGAGAGTGTGTGTTGTTGTTAAAAACATATGCTTTAAGTTCAGAAAAATCTGACTGAAATCTTGGCTTTACCATCCACTAGTTTATTGTCTTTAGCTAAGTTTTAATTGTTTCTTCTGTAAAATGAACATAGTAATTATAATTTCTCTGCCACTGTATAGAAGTAAGGATTTAATAATAATGCTGTCACATTATAAACTTGCTATGCATTATATTGATTATTATGGCTGTAAGGAAACATAATGTAGTACATGTCTCATAGAAGATAATCAATAAATATTTTCATTATCCAGGGTCTTCCCCTAAAATGTCCTCTAACTTTAACTCAAAACAAATAGTTCCTGACTCAACATGAGAGAAAAACATACTCGATAACAATAATTGGTAGAAAATTTTCCAGAGTATCAGTTATCCATTAGGAAAACAAACCCTATAAAAATGATGTAAAATAAAAGCCAAACATTGGGGGTGTTTTCTTCACAGAATAATGTGGAGACCATCCTGGACTTACTTGCATTTCAACTTTGTCTTTGCTATTACAATATAGGCTCCTAGAATGCAGAGTCACAACTTCCAGAGACCCAGCAAAATTTCTTGTTCATCAAATGGGACAGGTAAATATCATTCTTTAAACATCAGTTTTTTTCCTTTGTATAATGGTGTTATTAATAGTTGCTCTGTTATTTATGGACACTATTGTGTCAAGAGAACAATTACTGTAGCAGTTCTCTAAATTATAAAGGCATTTGTAAATTTGGAAGTGCTATACATGCATAGGTTATTATTAGATTAGTATTTCATTTTGGGCAAGTAATATTTTCTTAGAGGGTCATGTATGTTTGTGTGTGTATGTGTTTATGGAAGAGGGAGAGAGGAACAGAGAAAATTGAGGATATGGATATATATGTGTAGATAGATAGATAGACAGATAGATGATAGATAGATAGATAGATAGATAGATAGATAGATAGATAGATAGATAGATAGATATGGCTGTTGATCTTCTAGTGTGCCTTCTGCTGTCCCAGCATTTCCATGTTTTAAACTGATAAAGTCAGTGATTTAAACTGTTAGAATGTAGCAGCTAGAATCCTGTACCCAATGTAACCAATAATGGCAATCTTAATGAGGGAAGGTTTAAAGGTTGGAGGTATCTAATGGCAAAGACATTCTATCAGGGTTAGCAAAAGGTGTGGCTGTGAAAACAGTTCTTGAAATAAGGCCAGTGCTGGCCCTATAAAGTAAAAATGAAAGCTAACACGCTTTGGTTCAAAGGTGACCTGGAAACCTCCATTGTGCTATGAAAGCCTGTTCCAAGCAACTACCCAGGCTCAATGTGCCCTAACCATTGAACACATCAAAAACACAGACAAAACCAGAGGTCTATAGAAGTCCAGAGGTATAAATCAGTTTTCTGACCTGGGAGGTCAAGATGAAATGAAAATGTAGCCTTTCAGAGTTCACTTCAGCATAAATACAGGGGAAAATATGAGAAGGTTCATGATTGCTGTTCTTGCACCTCTAAATTCTATTATTAAAGGAATAATTTACGCCATCCTCATACCTCTATATTTTGTTATTAAAGGAAAAATTCAATGGAAAGGCAGAACTTAGATAAGAGGCATACTTTACACCTCATTTCTACAATAGTAAGTGCTTTCAAATGTTTTTCACATCTATAAAATAGAAATCATAATAAAAACAATATTTTCAGAAAAAATAAATGGAAAGGGATTATTGAAATATTTTTATACTATAAAAATAGCATACAAATGTAAGAAAGGAGATCTGTGTTTCCACCTGGCATGTAAGTTGCAAGACAATGTCACTGTCACAAAGGCATGAAAGCCTTTTTTTTTAACCCATCAGGGAATTGAAGTCAATAAACAACCAGGGACAGTAAAATCCAAATGGTTACAGTTTATCTCAGGGGAAAGAGGGCACACAGATTGTTTCACCTTTGGTAGAACATTTAAGAAGGAGTCCACCATAAAATTAATTAAGAAAATAAAAAGTTAAATTTTTAACAAATTTCTAAAGTAAAAGGGTAGGTTGCACCAGAAGTTAGAACTCCTGGAAGCCCCAAGCATAGGTGAAATTCACATTCATTAGGCAGGCCTATAATACACTAAAAATAAAAATTAAAAATAAACACACACAATAACAGTGACTGGATTCAGAACAGAAAACAATAAACTAATTTAAAGCTAGCTCAATTGAAAGTATTCTAACTGAAATACAAAGAGGATAAAAGTGTAAAGAAAATCACACCTTCCAAGAGGTGGGGGGCAGAGTCAAATAATCTAACATACATGTACCTGGGGTAACAGAAAGAAAAAAGGGACAGAATGATACAAAAATTGAAGATATAATAGACTTTTTCACCAAAAATTGATGAAAACAACCAGGAAACTCAGAGACCCTCAGTGTAAACATAAAGCAAACGACAACAAAGCACATTATAGAAAACAGAGATGGCTGACTTCCCACCAGACACTATGCAATCTGAAAGAAAATAGAACATTCACATTAAAGAGTCAAAGAAGAAAAGCTGCTATCTCATAATTCTAAACACTCAAAAATAAAGGTGAATTAAACACTTTAGACAAAACATTAAAAAATGTTAAGGGAGGTTTTTAGCAAAAGGAAAATGGTATCACATGGAAAAGTAAATTGAAACAAACACAAAGAGCAGCATCAGCAATGGTACATGCAGGAAACTGTAAGTTTTAAAGAGCTCTTATGTCATTAAAAATGACCGTGTAAATCAAAAATAGAAAAAAAACTGTGGGATTTATACCAGGTAAAATTTAAATATGTGGCAATAATACCATAAAGGATGAGAAGGGTTAAACAAACGCAAATTGCTGAAACACTGTTACATTTCATGTGAAGTGAGAAAATACTGTTTGAAGGAAGGTTGGCAATATAACAATGCTTACTATGAACCTGTAGTATTATCTTAAAGATAAATAATAATCCAAAATAAAGTACAGTGAGAGGAAATGAAACAGAGGAACAGCTGAGAATGAAAGAAAATTAAGATGGTAGTCTTAAATAAATGAATAATTGCAGTAAATGCAAATGGCCAAGATATACTAATTGAAATTTAAGGTTAACAGATTGGGGAATAAAAGCAGAACCAGTTCTATGCTCTCTATAGGAGCCCATTTTTAATATAATGGCACAAGCTGATTAAAAGGATGTGGGGAAAATATGTACCATGCCAACACAAATCAAAGGAAAGCTATAATAAATGTGTTAATGTGAGAAAAAGCAAACTTCAAAACAAAATTTTTAGGAATAAAAAGATAAATTACATAGTGGTAGAGGGCTATATAAAGAGCTTAAACTAAATAAAGCAAACACTAACAGAACTAAAAGCAGAAATAAAGAAATTAACAATTGTTCTTGAAGACATCAGCAATTCTCCCTCAGTAATTGAGAGAACAAATAGACGTAAGTCATTAAAATATATTTGAACATTATCAGCCAGTTTAACTTCTTTGATATTTATAGCTCACTCCACTTAATAATAATAAGAATGCACATTATTTTTAAAGTCTACATGAAATTTCACCAAAGTAGACAACTATATTGTCTTCTCTAAAACAAATCTTGACAGATAATCCTGACAGATTATTTCAGTTGAAATAATCCAAAGTATGTTTCTTAACTATAAAATAATTAAATTAGAAATCAACAATAGAGAAATATATAGAAAATTAGCAAAAATTTGAAAATTAAATGGCATATTTCCAAATAACCCATAGTCAAATATTTCCAAGAAATTCAGAAAATGTTCCAAATTATATAAAACATGAAAACAGAGCATGTTAAAATGCATAGGAAATAGTTAGAGCACTGCTTGAGGGAAAATAGGTAGCACTGTATGCTTATTGAGAAGAAAAGAAATATCTCTAATCAATAATCTAAACATCTATTAAAATCATCTAAACATCTTTTTAAAAAATTGAAAAATATGAACAAATTAAATCCAAATCATGAAAGGAAACAATACAAACCAAAAATCAGTAAAATAAAATGACAAAAATAGTAGAGAAAATCAATGAAACCAGCTGTTAATTATTTGAACAGATAAAGTTGATAAAAGTCTAGCATGACTGACCAAGAAAAAAGATTGAATAAAAAGAATAACAAAATTGGTGACAAATAGGGATTGTCATCACAGATCATACAAATATTAAAAAGGAACAGAGAGAGTAATATAACTTTAATTTAATAATTTAGTGAAATGGACATATTATTTGAAAGATGCAAGCTATTAGAATTCACTTGGGAAAATAACTAAAATGATTAATCTTATCTCTATAAAAGAATTTGAGGTTTTAGTTAAAAACCTCCCCATTATGGCAATTCCATAATTATGGCAGTTCCATTATGGCAATTAATGGAACAGGTGATTTCACTGGTAAATTCTACCAAACATTTCAGGAGGAAATAATACAAATTCCACACAAATTCTTGACAAAATAGATGGGGTTATAGATTGAATGTTTGTGCCCACCAAATTAATGTGTTGAAATTCTACTCCTAAATGTGGTGGTGTTAGGAGGTAGGGGCTTTGAGAGTTGACCAGATCATGAAGACAGAGCTCTGGAGAATTGGATTTGTGACAACAAACTCACAACTATCAACTGAATCAAACAAAAACAAAAACAAAAACAAAAAAACAAACTAAGCAAACTACCAGAGCAGGAACAGAATCACAGGTATGGAGATCATTTGGAGGGTTATCAGCTGGGACGGGGAGGAGACAATGGGGGAAACGGTGCAGGGATTAAGTAGCATAATTGGTAGGAACGAAATAGACAGGGGGATGTTAAGGATAGTGTACAAAAGGGAGAAGCCAAAGAATTTATAGGCACAACCCATGGACAGAGACTAAGGGGGGGATTGAAGGAAGGAAGGAGGGTACTGGGCAGAAGGGGGCAAAGGGGAGAAATTGGGACAAATGTAACAGCATAATCAATAAAATATACTTTAAAAATAGTCCCAGAAAGTTGTCTCACTTTTCTTGTCTCTGAAAGAGGGAGTAGGGCCCCATCAGTGACCAATCTGCAGGCCCATTGATCTTGGATTTCCCAGCCTCTAGAACATGAGGAATAAATGCTTGTTGTTTCAGTCACTTAGTATATGGTCATTTTTGTTATAGCAGCCTGAATAGATAAAGACAAGGATGAAATTCCCCTCAGTCATAATATGAGACCAGCATAACTCTGATACCAAAACCTCAAATATATTTTAAACAAATAAAAGGCCTATAGCTCTCTTAAATAAGGATTCTTAAAAACTACCAGTACTTTAATAGAATATATGAAAGGATAATAATCATGATCAAGGAGAGTTTATCTTAGAAGGTAAGATTATAATTTACCATATCAATAGACTAAAAATAGAATTATCTCAACAAATGCAGAAAAAATTTTAATTTACAAATTCAATGTTTATGATTTTTTTAAAAGCTTTGACAAAACTAACAGTAGGAAGGAACTTCCTCTGCCTAATAAAAGACTTATAAAAACCCTACATTATCATATTTAACAGTGAAAAAAAATGAATGGCCTCCCCACCCCGAGGTCAAGATCAAGCC